AATTTCCTCTTGAAACATGAATCTTAATTTCCTTTAAAAAGCCCCACAAATATCTAGCTCAGTCAATGAAAAAGTCCTTTACACCAGAAGAAGGCTGCTGTTTTGTGTAAAATGCATTTGTTTTCATGGTACCATCTACACAGTGTAAAGAATTCAGTTCTCCAACAGAATCTTTTCAGTTAGTACAAAAGTAGGGATATTCTTTAAAAGAACAGAAGAGACTGTGTAAGGAAACAATATGTCCAGGATTTAGAAAGTTCTCAGTCATCCGGAAGTTGTTTTTATAAATATATATTCTCTGGGATGCCTGGGTGGCTCAGTCAGTTATATGTCTGACTCTTGGCTTCAGCTCAGGTCATGATCTCATGGTTCATTGGATCGAGCCCCAAGTTGGGCTCTACACTGACGTGTGGAGCCTGCTTGGGATTCTCTTTCCCTCTCTGTCTATCCCTCTCCTGTTTGTACTGTATACTTTCTCTCTCAAAAATAAATAAATTTAAACAAATAACATATATTTATAGAGAGCTAGCCGAACTGTAAATACAGTAGCCACTAGCTACATGTGGCTATTTATATTGAAATTAATTAAAAATAAATAAAATTTAAGACTCAGTTCATCAGTCCCAGTAGCCATATTTAAAGTGCTCAATAGCAACATGGAGCTATAGGCTACCATATTAGATATTGCAGACATAGAAATTTCCATCACACGGAAAGTTCTATGGGACATGGCTGCTCTTGGGAGAAATCATTTATTATCATCAAATTTTCCATTCCCTATCTCAACTCCACCCCCACCCCCACTTTGTTCTTCATTTGCCAAACAGAGGGGTGTGTGTGTGTGTGTGTGTGTGTGTGTGTGTGTGTGTGTCTATCTGCCTGTGTCTGCCTCTCTGTCTGTCTGTCTGTCTGTCAGGAAGTAGGAAAACAGCTGTTCACTCTTGGCTAAAGGTGACAAAAAGCTAAATCCCTAGATACCACAGCAGGAATTCGTCTTCATTAGCATGTGTCTTCCTTGTTAGCTCACTCACCAGGAAAAGGCACATGCATTCGAATGCCTGGAATCACTAGGTGCCTTAATAGTAGCCACTTTGGTGCAGTTACAACTCACTTAGGTTAATCCATTTCTCTTGAGCTTTCTAAGTGGGTAATTGAATTCATTCTTTTGCAGCTTTGGCCTGAGTTCTGAGTTTAGATCTAGATACCTTGCATCCTCCCAGTCTCACTCCTACCCCACTCCCAAACTAGAATGATTATATATTCTTGCTCTTCTCGGAGCTTCAGAAGAACAAGGACCATGTATTATTCGTCTCTGTATCTCCAGTGCCTAGCCAGAGTTTGGCATGTGAAAAGTACCCGGTGAGTGTTTGTTAAAGAAATTAATTAATCAATTATATAATCAATCAAGATGTGTTCAGTTTTCCCAGTAGGACTTTCACTAACTATTCCTACAGAGAGTTCATTCCCCAGCACAGTGATTCCCAAGTCTGGCTTCACGTTAGAGCCACCTGGGGATCTCTTAGAACCGACTGGTGCCGGGGTCCCACCCCAGACCATTACAACCAAATCTTTGATGGCGGGGCTCAGGCATCATCAGTAGTTTGGAGAAAGCTCCCCTAAAGGATTACCTTGTGCAGCCAGGGGTGAGAACCACACAAGGTTCTGATTTGGCAGCCGTAAATATATTTGCATCCTTTTTGACGTGTTCACGTCCCATCTCATCCACTGTCACGTTGGCTGTAAGATTAATAACGTGAGTCTGGTCTTAATAGTTACTTTACTCAGTTATGGGACAACAGTGTCCCCACTGCTCCCAACAGAGACTCTGGGAAGATAGACTCCGGTGGAGGCTTTACTTCCATGTCTTCATGAAGATTCAGCCTAGAACTGTCTTGAAACAACACAAGAGAGCCTCTTCTGTTAAATCCTCACTGGAAGTGGATGGTTTGAGTAAATGTGAGCTGGTATTGTGTCTTGAAAAGTAGAATACAAAGCTGCATGCCTGCCACCATAATAAGTGTGAGAAATCTATCTATAAGGTGGGGAAAAGACTTGAAGATGAATGAATGAAAACTCTAATAGTAATTGTGGGTAAAGCAAGCTGTGAGTCGGGAGGACTTGGGAATGGACTCCAGGTCCTGGCCGTGAGACTCAACGGGGAGGAAGTGCATGGATGGCACGATCTCCCCACTGGCTGGATGCAATGCTCTGACTATCCCTGAGGCTTGCCCCAGACGGGAGGAAAGGGGTCCAAGGAATGACCGAGCCAGGATCACAACAGGAAGGTGCTTGTGGTGACAGGACAGGAGGATGATCAGGCAAGACTGTGGCCAGAAAGGAGATTCAAGGAAGAAGGCAGGGTCAAGAATGGACTGAGGGGATCAGGACGAGGGCCAGGACGTGTGGGGCATCCTTCTACATGGGATCTGGTCTGGGCTCTCAGGCAGGGGTACTTTCTAAAGAGGGGCCTCCCTTAAGATTTTTCTTCTTCTTCCTCTTTCATTTTCCAAATGTCATATAATAGTCATTTCCTAACATTAAAAAATGTGTGCCTCTGCATGCCAAAAGCGGGCCAAATGACACAGGCTGAGACGATACTAGGAACGGCTACTGTTTATTGAACATCTACCATGTGCCAGGCACCAAACGAGACCTCACACACACATCTCAAGTAATCCTCTCGATAAACCTGAGGCAATGTTAGCATTATCATCTGCACTTTAAAGACGAGAAAACTGAGGCTGACCGGTTTGTCCAGGATCGCACAGCCCACGTGTGGCATGGCCAGGGTTCAGCCCACATCTGCGTGACTCCGGACAGATGCCTTTGCTCACCTCACACGCCCAGACCGAGCTTCGTCTGAATGGATAGAAATGGCCTCCTCACACCGCAGCCCCACACCTCACCAAAGGCCACCTCTTCTGTCACCAGGAAAGTGACGGACTCACACCAGTGCTGGTTATCCTCACACATTTTCATTATATGGTGGGGGTTTTATGAGAGTCTACAACAGGCTGTTTTTCAAATTTATTTAATTCATCCATCATGCTCTGAAGCCATTTGCTTTTTTATATTGGACAGATGTAATGAGATTTTGGACACTAAAAAATGTTTTTATTAAAAGTTATGACCCAGAGCTAGATGGTAGGGGCTGTGCCATAAATCCCTAGAAGTGTGTGAATTTATAAAGGATGTAGCGACATAACCTTAACCTTTTAGGCCACACCGTAGATTACAGGATCACTTAGGCTAATACTGTCTCACTACCTCTCGCCACCTCTGGCCAAATAGAATCATCATCACAATAATTTATGTGGTTATCTGATGTGGTTGCCCTTCCTCTCCTCTTTGCCACAGTTGACCTCTGGCAAGCCAGGGCCTGATGGAAGCAGGTGGTTGAGGACAGAACTGGTGGTGGCTGTGGGAGGCACGGCCACGTTGGGTCTTTGGCCCTGCTTCTCTGTAAATGGGGCTGACTGACCTAACAGTCACCTTTTCTGCAGACAGGGTGGAGATGATTATGGGGGATGGTTTCTCCACTCCTTCGTTGCCAACAGGAAGCTCTCCTCCAAAGTGGGAAATGATTCAGTTCTTTCTGTTCATGCATAATAACTCCATTTCAGTGTTCATATTGTCAGATTTATATTAATGCTGCACTACTTGGATATCATCCAAAATGTAATTAGCTTGTACATAGTGACCAAAACATGATGATTAAAAACATATATATAATAGACGTTATGTATATTATCTATAATATATATTATCACTGTGGCTTTGGTAATTAATGTTTGTTTAGCAGACCACCAAGGTATCAGATGGTGAGAGAACAACAAAAGACTGAAAGGAAATTGTACTAGAGAAGTTTATTACTATAGGTCCTGGAGGAGGTACATAGCACACCTCAGGAGATCACTTGGGAAAGGTCAAGGCAGGGGGCAGGTAGAGAAAGCAGGGCAGGACCGAAGACACGTGCCTTTATTAGGACCCACAGTGAAGTGCTTTGGGTTCCCTGGACTGAGGCCAGAGTGGTCCATTTGCACCAAAAAGAGCAAGGTTTTGGTAAGCTCTACAGGGACCTTAAGGCCCTGGGAAGCCAGAGAGACTGCCAACCACAAGGCTACTGGGGGAGGCATTCCAGGAGCTTAGAATTACTTGTGACTCTGCAGGGTGTTTATCTAGAGCCTGCCTCATAGCCTCATGGGAGAGGCTCGTGTCCCTTCAAGGCCCCTGCCGCTGAGCCACATAAATGAATGCCATTGCAGCAGTATCAGGTGGTTTAGCCAAATTCTCAATGATCGTAAACAGTAAAATGAGAAAATTAACAAAATGATTAGATTTGGTCACCTGCCAGCTACTTCTACAACGTGCATTCATCCCTGTATTCTTGAGCATGGCTATGTGCCACTTCCTCTGTGAGCAGCCAGGATTCAGGAATAAATACAGCTTGGTCCCTGCTCCAGGAAGCACAATGGATGTCCCATCCCTCTGATGATTTTCAGCTCAGAGGATCAAGGAAAGCTTCCTGGAAGAGGTGACCTTCCAGCTGGGCTTTGAGCTTGCAGAGGTGAGAAGAAGAGCATTTCAAGCATAGGGGGCAACATGCAGCAGGGCACTTACAAAACCAGCTGGTCACAGACTGCTCCAAAGAGTTTGACTAAAGCACATGGTAGTATTTTTAATTTGTAAAACCAAAATGTTGAGCGTAAACATCGTGCTCTTATCCGCTGCCCCCCCCCACCAACCATGGAGGCTGGCTGGGTAATGTCTGTAATCGCAGGAAGATAGGCTTGAAACCTACAAACTTACCCTTGCTGTGTTTCCTAATCAGGCCCGTGTTGTATCACCCGCTTCTGCTGGGAACACGTCCAGGGCTTTCCTGGTACACTGGCCACAGCTCCTGCCTGGTGTAACTGCAGATGCCATCATCCTCACTCATAAATCCATGCCATTTGTGTGTCATGCTCTTCGTCCTCATTCATCATCCCTTACCCTTTCAGAACGGCCATCCATTCGAGGATTTTGAAGAACGGTTTGCTGCGGCCACCCCGGTAAGAAGGAGAGGGCCCTGCCCGGTTAACCATTCCACGTCATCATCCCATTGTTCATTTCATGCTCATAAGTCATGCCTTGTGGTTACAGAACAGAAACCTGCCGACCGACTTTGATGAGATTTTAGAGGCAACAAAGGTAAGGCCTCCGGGCTCTTGTTAAATGAGGGTCACTCTGGCCATTCTCATGCCTTCCATATTCTCATCCAGCCTGCGTGAATGGCAGGTGCCGGCTGTGCTCCGGGGGTGTCTAGTCTAATGTTCACAGGTGAGCTCTGTGATGAGGTCAGATGGCATGTGTATGTTGATACGTGTGTGCGTGCTGAGCTTGTGTTGCAGAGGAACTGACACGCTCTTGTTTTCATCCAACAAATATGTTTCAAGCTCCCAGAATGTCCCAGGAACTCTGATAGATGCTAGAGATTCGGTAGAGCAGGAGGGCACAGACTCTGTCCTCAAGGAGCTCACACCGCACAGCATAGGAAAGACGGGGCAGGTTAGCCTGGTGTAGCGTAGTACAGTGTAGTATAGCAGGGGGTCAGGCACATAAACAGGATGTGCAAAGTGCACCCACTTGAATAAAAACCAGGCGAGGCTGCTGTTCAGTTGATCCACCCTGGACTAGGGGCACTGGTCTGCTGCCGATGTTTGTTCAGATCGGTTGATACATAGGCCAGTGCATATTATCACCTCTGAGAATAGGGTGTTTGGGAAGCCTGTAGGACAGGGGGTCCTCAACCGTGGCTGTCACTTAGAATCACCAGGAGAGAGTTTAAAGTCCCAGTTACAAGGCTGTACTTCACCTAATTCAGAATCTCTAGAGGTAAGAACCAGGCATCAGTATTTTCCCCCAAGTACATCCAAGGTTGAGAATCCCTGCCTGACCTAAGAATGTCACATAAGCCATTCTGGATGGTGGGACGGGGTGCAAACTGAGTTAGGAAGCACTGCCCAGAAAAAGAAGAATCCCCTAATTTGTGTCCGGAAGGATGGGTGGGAAAGGCAATTGGGGAAGGAATTGAATGTTCTCGGTAAAAGGAAGAGCATGTGCAAAGAGCCTGAGATGGCCCCTCCTTTTGTGACCCTGTATCTGTCCTCTCCATCACACCGCCCCGATTTTGTCCATAGGTTTGTCTTTCCATACAGCCACCAGCCCCTGAGAGTAGGGATGGGAGCAGGCCCATATCCCCTGCTCTCAGTACAGCAGCTGATGAACAGTAGGGGCTCCAAACTTTTCCTGCATGAAGGAGCTCCTGATGCCAAAACATAAGGAGTGTGTCTGTGAGAATGTGTTTTGGGGGTCAGCCAAGGACATCTCCGCCTTCATCAATGGCGCTTTCAGAATCTGTCTGCAGGAGGGGCCTAGGAGTCTGCTTGCAGCCGTCTAGTTGAACAAGGGACCAGGGGACTCCTCTTGAAACGGCAGTGGCACAGCACTCTAGATACTATTCGGAAACCATTGCTTGTTCATATCAAAGAATGGCTGTGGAGTAGCTGGCCCACGGGAGATATCGAGGGGCTTCCTCCTCAACAACCGAGTTATCCCTGTCCCCTTCACTGGGCTTGGCAGCTTCCAGTATCAATCTGCTTACCCTGGAAAATACCCGGGACCTGAAGACCGCAGAATCTGCCATCGACAGCCACATCTCTACCTGAAGATGTCTAAAGTGCTGGTAATGGAAAGGGGAATGGGCATATTGAGCTGGCCTTCCAGTTGAGAGCCCTTCGGGCGGATGTCCATCATGGCAGACCTTTTAGGAACCGCAGCTTCTGGTTAGAGAACATTGTGGCCACACTCCCATTGTCTAGGATGCCACCTAACTAGGGCTTGTCAAGTGACAGACAAACGAGGCATTGCGTGGCCTGTGGGTCAAGCCTAGCTTCTTTTAACTCCCACATCACAGACGAGTCGTGTCACCTCCTGGTCTCAGCTTATGTGCAAAGTGCAACACCACGGGGCTCACTGAGCGTCAAACATGATGGTCATGTATTGGAAAATGTATTATAAACTATAAAATGTTTTACAAATGTGAATGGTTAGTTTTAATTCTCTTGAGGTCATTAAAATGATTAATTACAACAATATTATCAGATGGAACATGGTTTGTTAGGTTACAAATAAAAAGGACTGGGGCTAACATGGCGGGGGGGGGCAGTGAAAATAGATATTATTCCAGATCTCAATCACATATGGTTATTAGAATTATTTTTAATTTTATGGCCATAAGAATCCCCCTTTTCGGGGCGCCTGGGTGGCGCAGTCGGTTAAGCGTCCGACTTCAGCCAGGTCACGATCTCGCGGTCGGTGAGTTCGAGCCCCGCGTCGGGCTCTGGGCTGATGGCTCAGAGCCTGGAGCCTGCTTCCCATTCTGTGTCTCCCTCTCTCTCTGCCCCTTCCCCGTTCATGCTCTGTCTCTCTCTGTCCCCAAAATAAATAAACGTTGAAAAAAAAAAAATTAAAAAAAAAAAAAAAAGAATCCCCCTTTTCTATAAAATTTAATTAACTCAAGTTTCTATTTAAACAGCAAATCCAATGGAATGAAATAACAATCTATGTTTTATGCCCCTGCATGTTTTTCTCGTTTAATCCTTGAGTGAAAAATCATCTGGCAAGAGGAAAGTCTATATCTCAAGACTGAAGGTTATTTTAAAAGTTGTGCTTAAGGAGAAAATTAGCCAATAAATTATATTTATGATGTTAGTAAAAGTGGGCCACGAGTTCAAACGCATTTGAAATGTAAATTGTGTGACTTAATTATTAACTTCATCTTATTATTTTCCTACCACTGAAAATAGTTGTAGGCCATTTTAAAAGCATTGAGCCCCAATTGTGAGGAAGCCCAGAAGCTTCATTTGAATTGATTAAACACAAATATTTCTTTTATGAATCTGGGCGGGAACATAAGGATTGGCATAGTTTCGCCAAATAACATAAAATAATTGTGTGGGGCGCCTGGGTGGCGCAGTCGGTTAAGCGTCCGACTTCAGCCAGGTCACGATCTCGCGGTCCGTGAGTTCGAGCCCCGCGTCGGGCTCTGGGCTGATGGCTCAGAGCCTGGAGCCTGTTTCCGATTCTGTGTCTCCCTCTCTCTCTGCCCCTCCCCTGTTCATGCTCTGTCTCTCTGTGTCCCAAAAATAAATAAACGTTGAAAAAAAAATTAAAAAAAAAATATCGTAAACATGCTAAAGCCTCTTTCCCGGAGACAAGCAAGTGTCTAGGGTCTGGCCGGGTCCAGTCGCACCACAACGTTACCCCTGTCCTGTCCACTTCGCTGGCCTCTTCCCTGCTGCTCTCCGTTCTCACACTCCGTACAAATTGCTTTGCTGCCCACCTGGTCACACCTCCCAGGCCCCTCTCCTTTTCTGCTCATATACTTTCACCTGCCTGGATTATCCTTTCTCATTCAGATGGGGTCTGTTCCCTTTAGAAAACCCTCCTTAAGCTTCTTTGCCAAAAGCTAGCTGATTCCCTTTCTCTGCTCTCCCACAGAGACCCCTGTCACCGTCCCTGACACATTACCTTGAAATTATCTACTTCCTTGGAACATCCCACCAGACCAAACTCCCTGCAGTCTGGGACTTGGCATTTCTCATCATTCTGTTCACAGCTCCCAGCACCCAACAGGTGTTTAGCGTGTATGGACAAAGCACTGTGTCGTTGGGAAGGAGATGAGTGTGTGTGTAGGGCCCTACTATGTGCCCAGCACCATTATTCTGTCTGAAAGCTTAAAGGGAAGAATTGAAAGTACATTAACCGATCTAAGCTGCTTTCAGCAAAAAGAGCCTTTTGTACCTTTTTTTTTTTAATCTTTATTTTGGAGAGAGAGAGGAAGAGACAGAGTGCGAGTGGGGGAGGAACAGAAAGAGAGAGGGAGACACAGAATCGGAAGCAGGCTCCAGGCTCTGAACTGTCAGCACAGAGCCCAACGTGGGGCTCAAACCCATGAGTCACAAGATCGTGACCTGAGCTGAAGTCGGACGCTTAACCGACTGAGCCACCCAGGTGCCCCGATGTACCTTTTTAACCAGGCCTAGACAGACTTCAAAGTCTTGTCAATAGTATTGTCAATAAATCCGCAAAGGAGATATTATCATCTCTGCCATCCAGATGAGGGAACTGCAGCTCTGTGGAGTTGCAGAGGTTGGAAGTGAATATACCTCCAGATGTGGGGCCTTCCCCAATGCCCAGAGCTCACTCACTCGTCAGTAGGAGAGAACTATCCTTTTTTGTACTAAGTGTAGAGACCTAGCCATGCCTGGTTACAGAAGAATTCAAGTGCGGGCTTCCTGCATGGCAGGCAGGCAGACTCTTCCTGTCCTTTCTGTTGAGTGATGTTTTTAGGTCCCTCAGTCACTATCACTTAAAATCCAGAGAGAAGCCAAAAGAGTTCTTTCCTCAGTGGGCAGGTTTTGCACAAAGCATATGATTATATACTTTAAGGCAGGCCGTGTGGTTCCTGGCCACTGACTCCCTACGGTCTCTGAAGCTGGAAGTGTATGCAGATTAATTTCTAAGCATATCTTAAAGGGTTTCTTCTGCCACTGTGGCTGGCCTTGCTCAGACACTCCTGTATGATGGATGAGAATATAGATGATACAGTGTCTACAGTGATGGAGTTGGTAGCAATGATTAATAGTGTATATACTGGGCTGTTTTCGATGCCCTTCCTGGTATTAAATGATATGTTTTCTTTTCTTCCAACTACATTTTTTATCCTAAAGGCTGACTCTTTCAGGGACCGTCATTTGACCGCACGCTCTATCTGCAGAAAATTCAAGTCCTGGCCCTGGGTGACCCCGGGGTCACCTCTGTGAGACTCAGCTGAGTCATCAGTAAAAATGGGGATGATGATTTGTACCTCTCAGGTTAGCGTTTGGGGGAACATTTGCTGAGAAGTGGTCACAAAGTCATGTCTCACTATCCTTAGCACATCGAAGGCACTTTGTACGTGTGTGCACTCATAAAAGACAAGCACTGAGGGTACTGTCTTCTTGCCTTTATCTCCTGGAGAAGAGAGAGAGCATTGCACTTGATGGGAGGTCAGCGTGAGGTGGTATTTACTGGTAATGGGAGGTGCTAAGCCTGAATCTCCTTAACTAGCCCCAGATAAACTGCCGGATACCCTGAAGCAGGAATTGATTCTGGCTACGTCCCAGACATTGTCTTTAGGGTCATGAGGTACTGTAATGACCAGCTGGATTTACTGTTGATATAGCCGCGATGGAAAATGTCATACCATTTTAAAGCAGCGCCCGGCAGCATTGGCTTCCCTTGTGGTGACATCATTCTCTTTTTATCTTTTCAGGCTGTGACCCAACTAGAACTTTTTGGGGACATGTCCACCCCTCCTGATATAACCTCTCCCCCTGTAAGTATGCACAGCTGCTCAGCCCTACGTCCCTTCCCTTCCCTACTTCAGCTGCATGGTGAGGAGAATATGAGCTTTGGGTAGAAGAGGGCCACGGGTGGGTTCCAGCTCTGATTCTTTCTAGCTGTGTGGTTTGGGAAAACCAGCATTTCTGAATCTCAATTTCCTCTGCTGCTTTTTAAAGGAATTATGAGGGGCGCCTGGGTGGCGCAGTCGGTTAAGCGTCCGACTTCAGCCAGGTCACGATCTCGCGGTCCGTGAGTTCGAGCCCCGCGTCGGGCTCTGGGCTGATGGCTCAGAGCCTGGAGCCTGTTTCCGATTCTGTGTCTCCCTCTCTCTCTGTCCCTCCCCCGTTCATGCTCTGTCTCTCTCTGTCCCCAAAAAAATAAATAAACGTTAAAAAAAAAAATTAAAAAAAAAAATAAAGGAATTATGATACATGCGTCTATTTTGAGAAATAAGTGAAACCATGCATCAGCGATTACAGG